GGGGGGGGGGGGGGGTGATAGGAAAGGATCTCTGGTCACAGAGAACAGAGCTCTAATCCTGTTGCAGATAACATCATGTCTGCAGGCTAGGCTTGTGTGTGTTTGGGGGGGCTGGAGGGGCAGAGATTGTTAGGCAGTATTTGTTTGTAAAGCCACTTGCTCTGAAGATAATGCTTGCACTAACTTCTATTGAGGGAGCAGTGTGAGTCCCCACAAAGTCCTTTCCCAAAGTGTCTTTGAAGCCAAGAACCCATTGAAAGGAAGAAAGGCCAAGAGAGGGGATTAGTTTGTTCAGCAGCTGTGAATTTCAGTGGGAGGCTGATGAACTCCAAAGTCTTTGTTGAGATTTTTTTTGTAAGGAGCCCTGCTGGAGGGAGAGACCCACACGGGGGCCGCGGCCTTAGACAAGAAGGAATCCGAAGCGGCAGGGAGCTGTAAACGGGCCACAAGGACTTTTCCCAAACACTTTTCGGAAAAGGTGTTGTGAAGAGAGCGGAGAGGGATTAGCATGTGAAATGACACTTTCCATTGACTCCACAGAGGGGAGGGGAAAAGGGCTGGCTGGCTGATTTATTAGCATTTTGTTCCCTTCTCTATTCTGATCCCCCAGCAGCCCCCCTCCCCTTGCTCCCCTCCTCCCTGAGCCCTCTAAAGAGGTTTGGATTGGAAAAGGGAGCGGGGGGGCTGCCTGTTTGTGTGTCATCTGGGCGAAGGTGACCACCTGGGAAGCTGAATGTAAATATTTCTCCTCTGAGGAATGTGCCTTCATTAAACCGAAATGAATACATGGAAGCATCCAATCCTGCCGCACAATGGCAGCAGTGCCTTTACCACTAAGGGCTCCCTGCGCCAGGGAGGGGGGACCCCTCCGGCCCCGACCCGCTGCTGAGGTCAGCACATTTTGCAGCTGCAGTGTCGCCATTTTCTCCCCGAGAAAGAAGCATGCGGCGGTGGGGCTCACCATTGTGATGCTCCCCGCGTGTCCCCTTCACCAACAGGCGTCAGTGGGCACGTCCTGGGCTGTGCCACGGCTTTCACAGGGCAACTATGTGGGGCAACAATGTCAGCAGGGGAGGGACGGGGTAGCACAGCCTGCCGTGTGCTGTGGAGGGGAAGGAAATGGGAAACAGCTTCCACATCTTCTTTTCTTACATTTTCAGTTGGCCGTGGAATGATAGGCACACAGGACCAAGGGAGTAGAAGCTGTTCTCTCTGCCTTGCAGTGGTCCTCAAGCCAGCCCGTGCTGAAGCTTCCCCTGCTGAGTGAGAGGCTCTCACCACCTCTTTGCTTTCCTGCCCAAGGGTGCATTCCCACTGCAGGGAGATGGAGAAACTGCTGACAGAGATGCTAGGGAGACCGAGGGCAGGGTCACTGTATTAATAAGAACCTTTGTGCAAAGAGCTGGTGGTTTGTGTGTGAAGTGGAAGTGTTTCAGGTTTCCCTGAGAATGGGCCAAGATAGTTTCTTGTAATTTTTGAAGGGCCAGGTTCTTGCTTGACAGGAATGCTTGTGCTCTGGTGACACCCCAGCTTGCCCTAGGTCCACCTATTCCCACCCCCAACAAAGCAGTCCTAGAATCAAGGGGGTAATTGATAACTAAGAGACACACATAGACTGCTGAATGTCTTTAATGTATCATCTCTGAAGTGGGCAACTGGGCCCCTGTCTTCTCCCCTCCCACCTCCTTTCCTCCTGGCAGCTGCATTGCAGTTGGATGCAACCTCAAGCAAGCTCAAGGAGAGAGCAGGCCCTTCCCCTCCTGGTAGGGGCCGAGGTTGTGCTGTGTGGAGGGAACTGGTCAGCTCTTCTTATGCTCAACAGATGGGTAAATAGCTGTGGTTTAGTCTCTAGAACTGTCATTACATACATGCAATTGGATGAAAAATACCACCCAACTACTTAGACACAACAGCATTTTGCAAGCACTTGGCTACTGATTTATTGCATTGGCTATTGGTTTACAAATATTGGCTACAAGACAGGTCTAATGGCCAGTAACTTAGATCTGCTGGCATCTCACGTGGCTAAAGGACACTTTGAACAGCAAAGCAGAAGATAAACTCACAGCCTGGGGGAGATCACTGCTATGGTGCAGCAAGCTTCCCCAGGTCCTGCAGCTGACAGCTTCTTTCCTCCCTACCCCAACCATGGCAAGGGAACAGAGATGCAACCACCAAATCTTGCTGCTGCTTGCTTAGCCTATAGAATATATACAAGAAGCGGTAGAGGAAAAACTGTTATGTATACATCACAGAAACTGTGCAATAAATTAAACTTCAAAGTGCTTCACTTTCCTATTTACAACACCATTAAATAGTAACTGACGTTATTTTCTCAGACTAGGAGGAAGTAGTTAGTTAGTTAGCTGACAGGGTAAGAGTGCTTGGCGAGTACACCAGGAGGTGAGGAACGGGCTCGGCTGGCAGCTCCTCTCTGGAAGAGATTTGGGAGGAAAGAGGGACTGGAGAATTGTGAGGGCATCTTTATGGCATCAATCAAGGGCTTTGGCAGGAATGTTGGGATGAAGAGGGAGACCAGAGCTGGAGGCTTAGAGAAAGCATGTAAAAAGCAAGTGGTAGGACTCCTCTTTTGGACAGCTGTTTAATGGTCAAGTCAAGCAGCAGCTTCAATCTTGCTGCTGCCATCCTAAATGCAGAGTAAAACACTGGAGAGCTTAGCAAAGCTGTCAAAGGATGGGAAGTGATGCTGTGGGCCTCCTGGAGGCTGCCTTGCTGCGGGAAGGAGTTGCACACTTTTTCTACTCCCTCACAGAATGGAGCTTAATAAAAGGCAGTAACAACTTGATTTTACTGCCTTTTTTTTTAGGGTACTAGAAGCCTCTTCTGTTTTAGGGATTACACTCAGAGTTTCCCAGCACTGGTGGTGCCATCTCAGCTTCCATGTGCTTTCCTATGTGTTGATCTCACTTGCTGGAAAGCCCAGAGCAGGTGCTTGTTTGGGCAACAGACAAGCTCAAAAGGGCAAGAGCCACTGAGACCACCTGTGTTTTCAACAATAAAACCACAGTCACTGGATAGAGTGACTCTGAGTTGAAGGGACCAAATCTCACCTCATTTTGTCAACACTTGAGGGTCTTCCCAGAAGTCATCACCCATTGCACTAATGGGAAATGCCCTGTATGGCCAAGGGCTAGGGGCTCATGCAAGCTCTTTTGCCTTGCCCAAGCCCCAGTGTGGTGGCATTGGCAATGAGACAAAACTAAGCCAAAGGGAAATGGTGCTGGGGGCTGATGGGGAGGGCGGGAGAGGAGAGGGGCAGACAGGACCACGGAGGAGCAGAGGCAAGTTAGAGCTTTCTCTTGAGCTTGCGGCTGGCCCCACCACCCCCGCTTCGCTCCCGTTTCTCCTTGCGGACGCAAAAGTATTTGGTGACCCTTTTGCGGCACTGCTCACACCGCACGGCACAGCACCAGTGGAACTTGCAGTTGCAGCTGGACACCATCTCTGCTCGCCTCTCCTCCACTGCCAGCCCACAGTCCCCACACAGCCGCCGGCAGCTCCGCTTCTCCCACTTGCTGAGTGCCTTGCCCCTCTTCAGGCACTCCCTGCCCTCTGTGCCCAGCAGCCCCAGCGTCTTGTTCTCCAGGCAGTAGTCAGGAGAGTCTTCTAAATGGACCAGCTCCTTCTTGGAGATGGAGCTGAAGGTCTCGGCGATGGCACCCCGGCTGGCAGCACTGTTCCCTGCCCCCTGCAGCAAGTCCACCTTCAGGGCTTTGTGGTACCTCTCCTTGAGGTAAGTGCCCACCTCCCGAAACTCGGGCAACTGCAACCAGCAGGTCTGGGTGGTGCAGCTCCCCGACACGCCGTGGCATTTGCAAGTCCGCTTCATGGTCCCTTTCACAGCCTACAGGGTGAGGAGAGAGGGAATTCAGGAAAAAGCCCAGCAGTGTCATTTCTGTGCTGCAGTGCCTGGTGAAACATGGCTCCAGGCCTGTGGAAAGGTTTGCCATCAATCCTCCCTGCACAGTAGTCCTGCCACAGGGTTGTTGGCTTAAAGCTCACAGATTTACTTCTCCACAGTACTCCCCTACTTTACTTGAACTGGGAGAGAGAGGACAGCAGGAAGCCATTAACAGTGTAATCACAGAATGTTTGCTACCTTAGAACACAACCCATCACATCAGTACTCTGCCATCCCCTTCTCCTCGGCAAGGTTGTTGTTTCTTCTGGACGTGTGCTTTTAGCTACAGCAAGTTGTGACTTTCCACAGTGAATGGCCAGAGCCAGTCTGGTGTGGGCTGTCAGGTCTGGAGGGAGAGGGGCTCACCTTTCTACCTGCCTCATTGTTATGCAGGTTCATAGCAGCTCTGGCATCTTGTCCAGTCTCCAGGGCATCCACAAACTGCTTGGAAATGGCTTCCCCAAAGCCCACGTTATCGCTGCAGCCTCCCCACAGCCAGCCTTGCCCCCCTAGGAAAGGAGAACAGATGTGTGCTGTCAGAGAACCAGCCACTTGCCTGCCTGGCTTATGGCTCTGGGGACAAGAAAGGGTCTCAGAATTGATGAGAGGGAACAGAGGCTGTGGGACAAATCCAGCCTTTCACCTCGCGATATTCCCCCATTCCCTTCCCTTGGCCTCATGCCATTTCTACTGAGGTCTGGGTAGTAAGTGGCTTGTACAAGTAGCAAAAGGGTTTGTCCTGTGTGACACGCCCAGGGATTTCCAAACTTCCTATAGAGCAGGATTCAGAAGCTGTTAATTGCCATGCATTAGCAGCCATATAGATAAAGCTTTGGGTCTTTAATCGCCTTCCCTCAAACCCTGACTTGAACCCCTTCAGTCTGACTTGCAGGGGCAGCATCTTGCTGGTGTAGATTAGCGAACTGGTGGAGGCATCCTGGTCAGAGGGAACAGATTCCCCCCTGCAGGGAAACAACCCAAGCCTGGCACACATGTAGCGAGGAAGCTGTCTTTTTGGTAGACCCAGAATCCTGGGATGATGTTTGGCATCTCAGAAAGGTCTGATTTTTTCAATTATCATAAAAGAAACAAAGGAGTCAGCACAGAACTGGGAAATTTCACAGCAGGCTGTAGAGGGTACTTTTCCTAACTGTGTGGGAGCTTCGTAACTTAGCTCGGCTGACTGTGGTTTGCTTATTTCCTTCTAGAGAAAAATGTCAATTTCTTTGTGAAGATTTGAAATCTGGAACATTCTGACCCTAATGTGCCTTGGTGGTACATCTTGGGAGTTGTGGTTTAGTGGCCTTGTACCTTTTTTGAAAGGCCAGTCCGTTGCCCGGACTTCCCCAGAGCATCGCGGTCCCCTCTCCCAGGGAAAGACAGAGGTGTCTCATGGGAGGTGGGTAATTGCGGTGGATGATGAAGTCCAAATCAAGAGCTGGGACCAAAGGGAGAATGGAAACCTTTCACCAATTTGGATTCAATGTGATGGCATTTAGAATTGAATTACACTGTTTTAGACAAGCCCAAAAGTTTCCTGGGCCTTCCAAGGTTTTAAGTTCACAATGGAAAATTTTCATGGAAAGCAGACATGTTTTGGGGAAAAGAAGTGTAGCATGACTCACTCAGTTTTCCAGAAAAGATAAAATTTGGTGTGTCATAGCCTAAAATTCTTGCTCTGCTAGACATGGACTGTCTTATGCTTCAGACACATAAGAAGCAGTGGCTGTTTTAAAAACTATTATCCAATAAAAAAAATTACTAAATACTGGACACTCCAGAGGAGTTTGTCACAAATTGACAGGTACCGACTGCCCAATGCTGCTGGGTGGGGAAGGACTTTTATAAGATTCTGATAATTTGAAATTTGACCTCTTTCCACTCAAAACAAAAGACTGAAATGTCAATGTTTTCTCTGAAAGATGAGTGGAAAGCTGGAGCAGTACAGCCTGGGGTTCCCCACTCAGGGGTGCTTAGTGGCTGCGGGCCTGCGTACTGCTGTGACAGGAAAGGGGTGAAGGCTGTGTGCTGCCACAGTGGTTCTCCTGGTTGTGCTCTTGTGCCTGCCGCACTGACAAACCCTGGATGGTCTATGAATGCCACCCTCCTTTCCCTCCTGGTATTTCTGCCCTGGTGCCCCCCTGGTCCTGCAGACCCTGGGAGCCCTGAGGTTCCTGATCAGTGCTGCGCTAACCAGACCTGCCATTTAGATGCACAGCATCACATCCTTTCCTCTGCCTGTGTGATACAGTCATTCCCTCCAGCAGCTTAAACAGAGTTGTTCTTGGTTTGGACCAGGGAAACCTCAACCCCCTTCTACTTTCCTGCTCGTTTAGAAAGTAATGGGACACATCAAGGGCTCAGCCTCAGCTGGTGTAAATTGGAGGTGGCTGCATTAGCTTCCACAGAGCTACTTTGGTTTAGGCCAGACCAAGCTCTGCTCTGGGCATTATTTCCTGATGCGGGGACCAGGAGGAGGAGTTGTTTCTGCAGGCCTCAGCAGAGGAGAGGAGCTGTCTCCTGCCGCCTGGGACATGAGCGGGACGGCAGCTCGTCTCTCCTTACCCAGCTGTCCGTTGCGGGAGTCGTCACAGCCACAGTTGTCAAAATCCCCCAGGCTGCAGTTCCGGGTCAGCGTGTACATGACACCCGCAGAGCTGATGGCATGGACAAAAGCGGTTTCTCGGTTTGCTGTCAAGTGGGAATACAAGGAGAGCAGATGTGCTAAAGATTTCACGGTGAGACCAGTGTTAGAAATTACTCCTGCCATGCAGAAGACTGCACAGGAAGAGGTTTGCGATGGGCAGGGCTTTGTGGGGTGGAGAGGAGGCCCTACATGTCAGATTAGCTTAGTTTTGGCTTGAAGTGCATGAAGACAGAGGCTCCCAAATTCAACCCAGACTGACTTGTGCCATTTCCAAGGGTGTATGAGTTTAGCGCTTGGCTGTCCTTGTGGGAGATCAGCAATGGGAATACAGCACAGACAGCCAAATGTCCCCCATGTCTCACTAATACACCCCAGAGGGGAAGGGTCCCTCTCCAAGGATCAAAGAGCTCCTTCCCTACAGCCCCTTTGAGCCTTACCTTCTGCTGGACACTGTCCAGGGCTTGGAGCAGCAACCATACCTACCCACCAGGATCAGTGTAGTTAGTGACCATCAGCTGACTTCACTGAGCCTTTGGCTTTCATTTAATACCAGCAAGGTCTGGATCTGAGCAGATAACCTTGACAGGAGACAGTTCAGGGACCTGCTCCCAGTCCCAGAGTGTTAACTTTGTGCTGCAATTGCCTCCTCAAGGCCCCACTTCGGAGGCCCTGGTCCCTTGTCTGCTGCCAGGCCCACCAGAGGCCCAAGGCTCTCCTCCATACCCAGGTCCTGCTTGTACAGGGCAGGTGTGAACTCAGCCCAGCATCATACATGGGTCTAGAGGACCAGGTGTGCACTGAAACATTTCCTGGTACCTGCAAACAGGTAAGGAATAGGATACAGTGGCACTTGACCACAGCCCCATGCTCTGCAGTGGCACACGTCATGGATGCTGGATTTCTGCCCAAGGTGACTGACACCTGGAAGCTGTGGGAAGACTTTTCTCCTGCCTCTTGGCCAGAGCACAGCCACTGATGAACTCTTTCCTGCTCTCTTTAGCCGTATCCCTCTGCTTGCCACCCCACCACCCCGTGCCGTTTCTCAGCCTCCCTGGGACACCCTGGTGAGAGACACCACGTAGGCATGGTGTGTCCAGCAGCCCCTGCTGCAGGTCATGATACTGCATCCTTGTGGAGAGCCAGTTGTGTGAGGGTTGGTGGGACACTCCTGTCCTGTGCAAGCTGGGGCTTGATGGGTCTGGAGGTGATGCTGGCATTGCAAGGCTGCCGTGTCTTGAAGCTAGATCCCAGTGTGTGTGTGGGAGCTGGTGGGTGAAGGGGCCTCCTGGAAAGTTCTTTCCTGGGAGAGGCATATGCCAGGTGGGGATGGGGAAGAAAAGGAGGCACTTGGAAAGAGAGGAGAGGCCCACAGGCTCTAACCTGTAGTGAGGGGGTCCTAGTAGTGTTATCCAATGCTTTCCTTACCGCTGCGCAGCCCACCGTGGCTGGAGAGCTGCAGTGCCCTCTCAGGGCAGTTCCAGCGGTCCCAAGCAAACTGGAACTTGCATTCCTCGATGCCGCTCTGCGCCCCAGCTGCCACGCTGCTGGAGTAGATGAGGTAAGCCTAGGAGCAGAGGAGCGGGTCAGGAGTGGGGACAGTGTGTGCCCCACTTCAGCTGCCCCCCCAGCATTAACTTGGAAAACTGAGTGAGGATGCATTGGCCAGCATGCAGGGACAGGGGTGTACTTGGTAGAGTAGGGTTGATGGTTGGACTCGATGATCTCAAAGGTCTTTTCCGACCTGAATGATTCTATAATTCTACGACAGCCCAGTGGGTGAGAGGCTGGGAATGCCCCCAGGCTACTTCCAGGGTCCAGGAGCTCTAGTTTCAGCAGCTCTAGTTTCCATCACAGGCAGTGCAAAGCTGGTGTAGCCCCAGCTGCTTCCCACACAGTGGTGGGGATGATGCAGGTGCAGCGTTCCTGCCCTGCTCTGCATATCGTGGATCCTGCTGCCTTGGGGTCTAGATGGCTGGAGAAGCACAGTGCAAAACACCAGGAAGTACTTGGTGAAGCATGTTTTGTAGGGCCTACAGAAAGTATCTTTCCAGCTCAATGAATGTGGGTGCTGATGCTAACCTGATTATCAGGAAGCAACAGATGACAAGTGAGAGCCTCAGCTGGTGCCAACAGGCCAATCTCCAAAACCTGGCCCCAACCAGCTTAAAAGGACCCTAGGACAACTTTGCTTAGGGCTGACACAGCCTGAGGAGCTGCAGCTCACAGCAGGTCATTCCTAACCCTCCTCTGCCTTGTGGCTGGAAACGTGGGGGTGAGGGGAACTCTAGCCCAGGCTGGATGGAGAGGAATGGGAAGGAGGAGCCCCTCCCTCCCTTCCCAGGTTTAGTGGAATCAGGGACAGAGATCAAAGGGATTTCTCTTACCTTGGGGCCCGTCATCAGGAAATTATTCACTGACCTGGAAGACAGAGACAGTGTCAGCAGGGAGGGGGTGATGGCGGAGGGGCCTGGGGAATGCCTGGCATCCCAGGGCTCTCCTCTTGCCCCCTGCAGCCTGCCTGTTTCCTGGCTGCAGGCACCTTTGGTCTCTTCCCTTGTCTCCCCTTGCTGCTCCCTGTGAGCCAGGATGGTGCCTTCTCTTTCTCCCCACCCTGCCCCCCAACCAGGATGTGCTGGGCTGCAACCCCCTTGCTGCTTCCACCTTTTGCTTTCCTCTGCACAGCTGCCCTTCATTTTTTTTAGTGCTTTCCTGTTCCCCCAGCCTTGCTTTTTACCTTACCAAACTGCTGCTCAGCTTAACTCAGGGTAGTGTTGCCTGCAGCCCCAGGAGCTGGACCACATGCCAGCACCGCTTTCCCTGTGGGACCATGCCAAGGGAAGAAGGAGGTCACACCACCGCTCCTTCATAGCGTGTGTCCTGGCAACATACCTCCAGGTCATGGTCCCTTGTTTTCCTGCAGTGCCAGCTCTGGCTGCCCACACTTTCCTCTTGGTCACAAACACTCTTGTCCTCCCCATCCGGCTGAGCACTGCACTGGGGAGGAGTCAGAGTATGGGGGCAGGGGGTGTTCCTAGCCAAAATTAAACTTTCTGGTGTTCGCACTGAAGGTGTGAAGCGATCATGTCCAAGGGCCACAAGGCAGCGTGGCTGGTCTCCATCACTCTCTCTAGGGGGCTTGCAGAGTGGAGCCAGTGCTGGACAGTCAGTCTCTTTCTCCAGCAAGAAAGACTCTTTCAGTGCAAATGGTGAGTCAGTGTTAGGACTCCATGTGGTGCAGTGACCACCATTAGGACTCTGGAGGATGTCTGGGTGAATCCAGCTCAGCTGTGTCATGGCAGAAAGGACTGAGGCTTTGAAAAGGTCCAAGAACCAACCTCAAATATCCTTATCCAGAAATTAGGCAAAAAAAAGGAGGTTTCTCCTACAAACACCCCATTCCAGTCTCTCCAGGTTTGCAAAATAACCCTCATCACTATTTCTGGTGAGTCTCCACAGCATCTCCCCTGCTGGCACCCCGGCACTCCAGAGAGAGCTGAATACTTTTATCCCCAGGGGAGCACACTGAGGCCAGAGAGGTGGCATAAGTGGATTGAGAACTTGCAGTGAGTGAGTGATCAGGAAAAAGCTAGAGCATGCATCAAGAGAAACTGGTTCTTCGGCTTCTTCTTGAGATGATGTTCTGCTTCAAAAGCTGGATGTCTCCCAGTGGAGGATGCTTCTTCTTTTCAGCTAGCCCTTACAGAGCCTTAACCCACACTCTGTCCCTTCAGCAGAGCAGCATGCTCCACTCTGCAGTTGGACTACCTGGCCTGCAGTGATGCTTGTTACTTTTCTAACTCCTCTTCATTCCCTGAAAATCCCCATAGCTGGGCAGACCGTGACTGGATGCAGGGAGAGAAAGGTGTGGGTTAGGGTATGGTTTTTCCTCCCTGTGTGTTTTCAGGCGATGCTGTCTGGAGCTACAAGTGTCCCTGGTAAGGGAGAGAAAGGCACTGTTCTTTTGTGCTACGAATCCAGCACAGAGAGCTTGGGGGCATCCCAGGGTGGGCTTGAGCGTAGGCAGAAGCAGGCACTGCCATCCCAAGCTGGGGGACAAAGCATAGCCATGCTGCAGCCCTGCCATGGGCACGGGGCAGACAGGGTGGCAGGACTGGTGCCCAGACATCAGACACATGACAGATTTAGAGAGGATGTTTCCCTGCCCTGGAAAACTGCTCCTGCTGTCAATGAGCCCATTTCACCTCCACTAGAACTGCCCTCACTGAGATCCTCTCTGAGGTACAGTGCAAAAAGGAGGTCTCATTATTTTAGCTTGGTCAAAATCGCAAGAAACCTGATCTTTGCTATTACTCACAGTTTAGAAAGAGAGGGAACTGGTTTGCAAAGTTTCTCTTTGGCAAATCTGACTGGTTTTTTGGTGGAAACGTGTCCATATTGATGCGGCTTGCTTTGGGAAAGATTCCCCTGCATCAAAACGGGCACTGTGAGAGCAGCAGATACGTTCCCTTTGTTGCAGGCCTGTGATTCAGACCCAGCGACACTCCGGCCCCTGTGGGTACTTTAGTACGAAGTCGATGGCTGTTTTGCAGAGGAATTTTCCTTTGGGAGCTGCTTCTGCATTGTACAGCTAATTAAATATTTCCTGGGACTTGGAGAGAAGGCATCTGTAGCCGGGTGATTAGAGCATCGGGTGACCTGAATCACACAGGGCCATGAACCTGGGGCTATTCAGACTGTGTAAGCTCCCTGGGTCCCCATCCTAACGCAACTGGGTAGCAGCATGAACAAGTCATTTTTCCATCTGGTTTCCCCGCTGTCCTTTGCCTTGACCTTAAGCTCTTGCTATGGGGACCACACTCAGGATGGTGACAGTGTGAATCTGAGCCCCTGGCAGCAGCTATGAGAAAACTCTGGTAAAATGTCCCTGTGTAGGCAAGATCTACAGAATTGCAAGTCTCTTATCTCTCTTGTCTTGCTTTTGTGGCCAAAACAAGAAATACATCCCACCTGCATTGCTTCCCACCTGGGTAGGAAAAGCCAAATTCACATTGTGCAAGAAGGATTTGCTTCGAACCCTTGCTGGCCTCATCTTGGATTAGGAACATCTGAGCAGTTGCAAGGGTGGCTTTAGGAGGAGGGCAGTAATCCACAGGTTTAGGATTTGCAGCAAACCAGCCTGTTAGCAGGTGTCAACTGACATAACTGCATTAAGCAGGGTCTGCTCCTCCTGGGATAAATCTCAAGGTTCACAAAAAGGCCAAGTTCAGGATACGCCAATTCACCATCTGCAGCTGAGCAAATGGTACAGTAGTAATTTCCCAGCAGGGTATTCTAAACATTTTTATTAAGTCAGAGAGACAGAGCTCTCCGATCAACAGGCAGGCACGCTGCTGGGAGGGTTTGTAGGACTTAGACAAGTAAAGGATTCACTTAGACTGGTACACTTGACCCCCCACATTTAACTCTTGCGGCTGCAAGTGGATTCAGGAGAAGGGGATATGGGACTATGGTATGGCTGGAGGCTGGCTGAAATTTTTCTGATTTATGCTGAGAGGGAAAGAAAGATAATAACAGAGACAAAATCTGTGTGCTTTGTCTTTGCTTGTATGATCTAGCTAAGAAAAATGCATGCCTATTCTGGATATGGATTCCAGGAGGGCAGAGAATAATTAAGCCACTTGTTCCATGGATGTAGTTCAATATTGACAATGCCACTAGAGTCATTCTCTGTACTGTATATAGGAATCACTACAAAAATGAATCTCTCTTCATTTTTGTCTCTGTAGTGTGATTTTTTAAAAAAATTATTTATTTATATCTACTACTTTTCCATACCACTGTAAAGGAAAGCAGAATGTAATCCTAAACTAACCAGCTAGCTGCATCCACAACGGGTCTAAACCAGCCCAATTCCCATGACTTTGGCGTCACTGCACTGATTTAAAACTTTTTGAAGTCACACACATGAAAGGAAATGCTTGAAATTATTTCTCTTCTCCAAGAAACTTTACAGGGTTTCTAGCTATCTAAACCCCTTTTCCTCCACCTTCAGACGCCAGGACAGCATTACACAAACCGAAGCAGAGCAGAGACAGACCTCAGCAGGTAGAGAGAGGAGTCCCACCGAGTTCTTCAGCCCTCTCCCCAGCCCATGCAGGGCCCTGGGCAGGGCACGCTGCTTCCCTCACTGCAACTCTATGCATTCAGGTAAAAAGTAAATCTAGGGCAAGTGATTTTAATTGCATCTGATCTTAGGAAGTTATCTCAAAGCTATGAATATCTATAGCAGGAATTCTCTACCATAGTTTTATTGAACCCAAAAGCAAATAACCCTGCCAAGCAGCTGTCCTACTATATTTTACACATATCAAATACCAATTAGCCTCTGATAATTTCTGCTGAGTTACAACTTTAACCAATAACAGCGCCCTGCTCCTCAGTTTAATATGTCCCAACAGCCTTATCAAATCTCCTATTAAAGTATTTGTTTGATACCTTATCACCCACTCATGCTACTGTGCTGCTGGTTCAGCTCTTTAGAAAATTATAAAGCTGTATTTAGACCTTTACTGTCATTATCGTAAATACAGAAAATGGATACAATTCCACTTTAGGTCTGAGTTTTGTTCCAAGTACAAACTCCCCCAGGTTATTAGAAAACCAGTGACACTGGAAACTAAAGGCAATCATACAGCTGAAGTGTAAAAAAACATTTAGAGACAAACTGCTGCACTAGAGACGGTTACATTATTCCCACAGGAAGGAGACTGGGAGGCAACTAACATTTGGAGCTTTAATTTTTTTCCCTTCATTTCTCTCTATTTTGTTGTATTTATGTGGTTTTTGGTTCCTAAATGCAAACCTGACATTTTGCTCATCTAGAAACATGCCAACCATTCAACCTAGCTGACATGGCAGAATCTAATCCGCACTCAGAGAAGGGAAGTGCCCTCAGATATGTAAAAAAAATGTTGTTGATCTATATTGCTTCCTGCTCCCAATTCTCATGAATAAATCACAAGAAAAAAGAATCTTGTTGCGTTTTAAGCTGTTGGATCAGATAAAGAAGACCAGCAAAAATTGCAAGCAGGATTACTGTATTATTCTCATGAACCTTGCTTTTTTCTCTTCAAGAGTTAAGGGACAAGGTCTGTAATACATTCATTTTGAATTTTCCTTTCTTTCAGGAAATCATGACTATGAGCAACATACAGAGAGACGCAGGGCTATCTTGATCTATAATATTTTCTCTCAGATAAAAACTTCTGAAAGGCAGACAGGGAATTTAGACATCCAACTTCTGTCGAAAATGCCTGGGATTTCTGTGTTTAACTCTACTTTGAGCTCTGAAATTTCTCCCCTTTGTACAATTTCTATAAAATGTTAATTTTTTAAAAATCTTTTAATGTATTCTGAACCTGTTTATATTGAAGAAGAGCAGAAACATAAAAAATGAGTTCTTGCCCAGCCTTTCTGCACAACATACCCATTCCCCTTGTTCCAGAAGGGAGATTTATCTTGAGTTTGCTGCCATATAATATTTAGACGTATACAAATTGTTGCACATTCTTTTAATAAAGGGAGTAGAAAATCTCTGATAGAACATAAATTTCACTCACAGCCTAACAGGAATAAGTTCCCATTTACTCTTGAGTTTCTCTTTCTGTAATTTTCATTTCTCCTTCCATGGTAATAACCCTAGAGATCTGCTATGGGGGAGGCAGGGGATTTTAGTAATTGAACGGGAAAAGACTTTCCTTGCTGTTAGAGATACGTCTGTAACCCACAGAGCAGATTCCCCAAGGCATCACGGAAACGGAGAATAAAGTTTGGGTACTCAGTAAAAATCACATAGGAAAAGATACCTACAAAGCCAGGTCATTTGAGTCCATCTACATTTGGGCATGGGAGAGATACACTCCACAAGGAATGGTACGAGATTTGATGCAAGTGTAAACTCTTTCTGTTCACCCTTATAAAACATTTATGGAAATAAGTGTAAAACCACACTTAGGACAGAGCAAGGGGCCCACAGGAGATAAGTTTGGGTTTGTGCATGGGGGAACTGGTCTGATGGGACCCAGGTGGCTGGGAACGAAGCCGTAGTGATCTCTGTACCAAAAGCTTCTCCCCAGGAAATCCTAATACATGAATTTCAGACATGTGTAATCCTGACCCTGTGCCTGCCAAGGAGCCCGGGTCTCAGGCTGCTCATGCGGAGTGACGCTCCTGATGATCTAACTCACCCCTGCTGGCTCTGAGCTCTTAATCAGGGACTGTCCTCTTCGGGGAGCACGGGAGTAGCCCCACTTGATTTGATTAAGACAAGAGACAAGCTGATGGTGAGCCTTTGGATAAACAGAAATCCCTGGCTCTCCCATTGGGTTGTCTTCCCAGTTGGAAGTGAGGGGCTAAATCCTCACATCAGCTCTCCTCTACTCTGTTTTACACCAGCTCAGGATTTCTCCCATGCAGTTATTTTTGGGAGGCACAGGGGAAAAAGGGGACTTTCTTAGAGCTAACCTCTCTACCAATGACTGTGTTGGGACTTAGTTAAATATCTGATTCCATTAAAGACCAAAACTGAGCTAAATGGGAAAGAAGGGACATTTAGGAAGGTGAAGAGGAATTTCCTTAGGGTGTCCGGAAAGAGCACCTGCCTGTAACAGACTGAGGTGCTCTTGATACTCACCAGGCACAGCAGGATTGGAAGAAGGGAGTGAGGAAGAAGATGCCCAGATAAGGGTCCATGTGAAACATAAAATCCAAATAAAAAGGGAGAAAGGAGATCCTAAAAAAACCCTTGGGTACCACTACCACCAGAGAAAAGGAAAAAAAAAAGAAAAAAGAAACACAACAAAATTAGGGAAGGGATGGAGTTATCTTCCACCCGGCGGTCCTGGTGTGATGAAGAGGCATATGCCCCCTGAATCCCAACTTCTGCGAAGGGTAACCAATCCTAAAGTAAGAGCTAAAGGGGGTTGGTGAAATGGAGCCGCAGAACTTCCTAAGAAGAGATTATCTACTTAATTAAAGATTTTTTTTTCCCTAAGTCCTTCAGCCAATCAGGACTCAAGTGCCAAGAGAGAGATTGAACTGATGAAAAGAACACCCCAGGTTCCTCGAAGACAAATGCACCACGAAAGGGATAAGAGGGAGGGCCCTTAAAAGAAAAAAAAAAAAAAAAAGAAAGAAAGAGAGAGAGAGAGAAGGATAAAGAAAGAGACGGCAAATCCCTTAAAGTAATCACCAGATTCAATCTCCACCAGCACTGCTCTGCCTCTCCATCCCCCGCAAAGGCAACTGGAAGGGCTGCTTTCAGCATGCCTTTGCCTCCTCCTGCCTTGGAGACATCACTGGGGCTGGGGTGCACTGGGTGCTCTGGAATGGGGGGCTTGGGTTTGGGCTGCCTGCGACCGCTGCTTGGAGGCCATGCAGTGTGCTTCAGGGAGAAGGCTGGGAAACAGATACGTGAACATTGTCTCTGCCTCAGTCTCCCTGAGGAGTTTAACGGGAATTGGGGCCAGTTCCTACCTCCATCTGTTCCTCCTTCATCATGGTGACCTACTCTTTCTTCCCACCTCCTGTTTGCAGCATGCCACTCTCACCCCAGTAGAAAGGCCTCTGGCTAACCTTCCCATTCCCCCTTAATTTTTTCGTTTTGGGGTTTCCTACAAAGTCTGTGGGAGGGGGTCTTTGGTTTGGGAGGGTCAGCAGTCTTTCAATGGGGGCTTATCCCAGGACAAGAGCTGCTGGAGCTACTTAGAATTGCATCCAGCCCGTGCCTCCTGGCCATGTGGAACATCCCAGTTACTGTCACACTGCCCACCACAGCCACTCTGACCAGCCCTAGGTTAACAGGACCATCTGTGCCGTCCTGTCCCAGAGCCATAGGAGCATCTTCTCCACACCACGCACTGATTTTCCTGCTGTGGACAAAATCAGCTGAAATGTGGGCTGAGACCAGTCAAACTCATTTCACCCAGGGTGCAGCTGCCAGGCAGAAGGGCTGGACCAGGACAGGATTTGAAGGGGAGCAAGACGCTGTGGCTGAGCCATCAGGCAGGGCTGGCTGGAGGCTGAGCTTTGCTCAGGGCCACCTCAGCCAGACAAAACTCCCTCCTGGGTCACGCAGTCTCGAGAGGGAAATCTGCCTGGCAGGGATCTCCTCTCAGCCAGACTTTGGCCATCCCATGCCCAGATCAGCTCTGCCCAAGCCAGGGAGCACCAGCCAGGCTCACACTGGGCACAGCCCCCAAGGCACCGCTGGCAAAATGCTGCCTTTGCCCGGAGCGCTGCCCACCCAGCCAGGCAGGCCCCTCGCCCTGGGGGGTGGCTGGGCAGTTGGCAAGCACCTAGGTGAGGACAAAAATGCTGCCAGCAACTGATCCCAGGGCCAGCTGTGCCTCCCAGCTGCATCCTATTACAGCAAGGCTGATAGAATTTGCACTCATTAAAGCCCCAGCTCCTGGAGCCCTGAGAATTTTAAAAGCTGTAAGGTGTTACATATACTCAGAAAAAGCTTGAAAATTTAGCTGGTAGAAGACAAAACCCCAGAAACTGAAAGGTGAGGGAAATAAGCAGGTTTGTTGGGGTTTTTTTTACTATTTTAAAAATTATTTATTACATTGAAACAGAATTTCAATGCTGTGACTTTTAGCACAGTTTCATGGTTTTGGTGGCCTAATGCAAGTAGTGGGGGTGGTTGTGCCTTCCCTGCCAGAAGAGGCTATCCTGGTCTGGGTGTAGGCAGCAGCTACAAGGGCTGATGCTGCCCCCGGGGGAGCTGAGGGGCTGCCAAGAGGCTGCCCGCTCTTCGGGGGATCAGCCCCACCAGGACTGCACTAGTGGGATGCAGGGTATGCTTCCACCCTGCACTTGCCATTTATTTCTGATGGCAGGAAGAAGAATTTCCAGTTGTTGCTTTTAAGTCTTCAAATGTCTGTTTTGGGACACTTGAACCAGAGTTTTCTCAGTCCTCAGGCCCAGCAGCAGTAACATTTTGAAATCATGCAACGCTTCAGACATGTCTTGACCAACTGGAAACTAAGGACACTATTGGGTTCACTGGGGTGAGCTATTTTTGTTTGCTCCAAGACAAATTAAGTAAGCGGATTGCAAAAATGAGGAAAACAATATTCCAAGTAGATCCAAAATAAAAAAGAGGAATATATTTTTTTATTAGCTATTACAAGAGGCAGCCAGGCCTTCCTCCAAGCTCACAGAAGCACCAGCAGCACCAGGGTGCTGCGGAGCCAGCAGCCTCCCCAGTCAACTTCTAATTTCAATTAAATGCAATAGCCACTTTCCTGGAAACAAGCATGTTTCTCAAGCCAAAGAGGCTGGAGGCAAAGCCTGAAACAATACTGTCCCAAACATGTTTCAAAGCACTTAATTACAGCTCTCAAAGGCTGTTTAATAGACTCTATGAGCTACTCTATAAAGAAATGGGATGCAAAATTGTTTTTATAATGTTCCTCAAATTTTGTTATTGTTACCAACAAAAGCTCTGTAAATCTTCTAAAATGGGTCCAGAGAGCATTAAAATACATTTTATGGCCAGAAGGACTGGTATATTATCCCATCTGACCCGTTGGCCAATACTGATCTCTACTGACCTTTGCACTGAGTGCTGTAATGTGTGTTTGACTATTTGCTCATCTCCCAGAACAGCAGACAGGGTTTGAGGACAACAGGAGATAGAGAACCTACTGCCATCTGTGGTTATTTGTTCCAATTTATTAAAAAACAAACAAACAAACGAAACCATTAATATAAGATGTCTAGATTTAATTTCCAGAGTACAGAGAAGATCTGAACTGTACTTGAAGAGCTTGTACAAGTAATCACAGAAAGAGTAAAAAATAAAGTTTCTAAGGCTCTTCCCATCTTCCACAGGTACCAATGCAACTGATGGATATGAAAAATTAGTTTAAGAAGTAGGGGTAAATATTCCAAGTCTGGCTTACAGATATCTCAAAAGTTTCTTGCTGTCAGTGCAAAGTGCCCAAAGGACAGATATTTTAAAACAAAAGGGCCATTAAAAGGTCAGGAAGGAATTTGAAGTGTCTTATTTTAAAAGATATAAATTAATCTTGTCTAGGGAGAACACAGAATTCAACCCTGAAAGAGCTGAAAAAGTCTCAGGAAGGTCCAGCTTCCCAGTGCAGTAAGCAGATTTCAAATGGCAGCTTTGCCTTTTGCACCAGCTAAATATGGCTTCAATAGTATCTAATGCCTGTCAAAACTTCCCCCAGTACCCCAAGAAAGTGTAAGTGTTGCTTGCAATCCTGTACTGAACATGCCCTGTGCTATTATGCTCCTACAGTTAAGTGGTTCTAGAAACAAAGCCAAACAGAGGCTGGGGAAATATAATAGTAGCTTTTATTAGATCAACTGATGCACAATGGAAGAAGCAAACAGGTTTTTTGAGCATTTTGGCTCTGAAAAGGCAGGAAAGGTGCTGGTGTGCCCAAAAGCCTGTCTACTTTTTTTTTAGCTGTATGAATCTGAGATTGTGCCTTAAAGACGGTATTGACACACCAGAACATGCAAACAGCTGTGCGACCTCTTTGCTGCAAGCTTGACTTTGTAACCTTCATGGTTCCCAACGCTTCTGTCTGCATAGGTGACACAGGCTGAGCAGCCTCCCATAAGGTCTGCTTGTGCTTTACCAGTATTGAATGTATCCACACATTTGCAGGTTCTCCGTACAGTTCATGCAGGGACAGCTCAGGGAATCCTTACCTACTGCAGCCAACTGTGTGACTGGTCACATCCATCACACATCTCATAGGAAGTGACTTCTGCCAAACTGTGGGGAAAGGCAGGAGGGTCAGATGTTTAGGCTGTTCTTCAGTTGCTGGAGTAAAGCTTAAGGTGTGCACAAGAAACCAAGAATATTATCTCACATCAGAAGGGACAGAAATGTTGCAACAGCTGTAGAGGGTCAGTTCAAGGCATGGACAGCTACAAAGTGTTTTCCACCTGCAGCTCTCAAAGTGCCTCAGCAAAACAGCTCCCCCATTTTTCCCGTTTTACAGGATGCAAAACTGAGATCTGGAGTCAGGCAGTGGTTTGGGGATAGATCCAGCCTCCTGCACCCTCGTCTGGCCCCAGTTTCCTTCTGACATTCAAGGCAGCCAGTTTCAAGGGAAAGGCAAAGGTCTCTAGGGAAACATCTTTAGCCATGGTACGTAGAAGTTGGCTGTGCCCTGGAGAAAGTGAGCTTAGAGAACTTCAAAAGCTCCAGTTCATCCTTTGCTTGGGCTGCAATAGTTGCTTTGTCATGTGTTCTCAGTTTCAGTATAGAGGATATTGCCTCAGCACGGTCTTGACTTGCACAGGCTTATGCTGTGTTGGCCAAAAAAGTATTTATTTTGAGAGTCCAGAAAGCAAATATGGGTCCAGGGCATCTTTTTCCAGCACCCACTTACCAGGCAGCTGAGGGTTGTGAGAGGGAAAGGGACAGATGTGCAGAGAGGTGGGGTATCTGGGAATGAAAATCAAAGGAAAGTGAGAGGTGGTTTGCCCTTAAAGAACAAGCAGGATCACCTTGGAGAAAAAGGACTGTGAGGGTAGGAGGGAAATTATTTATAGCACTCCAGGAAGGTGTAATTAGGACAAGCAGGACTGAGTGAGTTGAAGCACATTCCTGTCTGGCTGGCAGGAGGTGAGGTAACCCTGGAGGTGAGAGGGACCATACTAAGATCCCAGATCTAGAAACATAGCCTGGCCGCTTGCCAGCCACACCTTCCTCC